TGTGCGGATTAAATGATTGCTGGGAGTCCTCTAAGTGGCAGATAATGGTGGCATAATTTCTTCTAAATTATTTCTAATCATAGCCAACTACTGGTTCATGAATGAAGCAGTTGTTAATTGTGACTTACAAATCAATATCTTGGGAGTTATTGCTTGGGTGGAAGCAGTACTTGCAGTGCATTTTCAGGGCTTCTAATTGAAGCATGAGTGCACGGTCAGAGCATTTTTGGCCTGAACAGCACATTTTTAACGCTTGCTTTTTGCCAGTCCCAGGTAAGCGGTGATTTTTCTTGTGAAACAGGGGTAAAACCTCGACATGGGTTTGAAACTAACTGTTCCTCTGCCGCTGCGCAGGTCGGGGATGTGGAGGGGACAGATGGCGGGGCTGTTGCTCAGCCCAGGGACAGGCACCAGTTCTTTGAAATCTTTCCCTTAACAGTGTTCCGTGCAGAGGCTAAGGATGGACGGGCACGTTGGGAACGGTTGTTTCTTACCCTGGTGCTTCGCGGGCACGTTCCCTTGCGCAGGCAGGTTGTGCTGGGTGCTGGCTACCACGGGGGGCCGGGTGGCCCTGACCCCGAGAGCGTGCCACAGGGCTGGGCGGCTCTTTGCACATTTTGTTTGCAGGGAGGTGGTGGGATTCCCTGGGAGCAGGGCCCAAATCCCCTATGTGACTTGAGCATGGAGGACGGTTGCCTGGTGGGACAGAGCCTCCCGGCGGGCCCTTGGAGGTCGCGGTGACTGCCGTGGTGGCCATTGCACCGGTGGGAGCCTGGGACCTGCGTCCTCCCCGTGTTCGTGGCGATCGCGGGGCTTAACTCCCTCTGGCTGAAGGCACAAGCCAGCGTCTGCTCAGCTGCTGTCTTGGGAGGGGACTCGGTGCCGTCACTCAGAGAAGACAAACCATGAGCTGGAGCAGCTTCTGCCACAACGCTGGTGTAAAGGTTTACCGGGGTCTGGCAGGGCTCTGTGGCACACGTGGGAGGTGGCTGGCAGGATGGCCGGTGCTTCTCAGACTCGGCGAGAAGGTTTGTCTCTGGCTTGTCAGGACACGGGTTGCCTCTGTAGCTGCTGAACTGTATTCCTGACTTCTGTCGGCGTAGGATGTGTTTGTGAGTGCTCTGCTCGGAGCAGGCACCTCGTTGCCCTGGCCTGCTGGGGTTGGCGGTGGGGAGATCCTCCTTGCGCCTGGACACGGGTCCCTGTCCCTGTCTCCCAGCTGGGCCAGA